TTCTCCAGTGTAGACTACTATCCTATTTTCATTTGAGATAACCGTATAGGTATCCTGAAACAGAAGTACTATAACGTCGCCAAAAATTCGGCATTCTCAAAATTGATTATCTTTCCCTACATCTACAGGACTCTATAAACCAAGGCATGCAAGTTTTTGTATACATCTTCGACTGCTACATATGCATATTTTAAGAATATATATATGTAAGTATACGAGTATATATATATGTTTACATGAATAAATAACTGAATTTGTTTATACATATAACACACTCATTTACAACACCTCAGCATGCTTATTATTTCACAGAATATAAATTCTCTTGAATGACATAATAATTACAAATTCACTGTTATTGTTGATGTCTGCATATTGAAGTGCCTGCAACAATTAAATAAATGCTGCATATTTTTAGGTAGTATTCCAATCTTGCTTTTGCATGCAATTTTGGCTTAGCCATGATAAGTACGAACGGTGATTTATTCTATTTTGAGTGCATTTGAGCTGGCTTACCACAGGACAATAAATGAAATAGAAAATATTTCTACGACAAGTAGATATGTATTATTGCTATCATTTGAAATGGAAAAAATATTTGTAGTTAAGGTGTGACTATAATTGCATGAATCTGCAGTGAAATGGTAACCATAAATTAATCAAAGGTTGTATACATATATGTTTGCTATAAATACATACGTATCGAACAAACAAAATGAGAAAATGTTGTTATATACTTAAACAATTTGTAATATTTTTTACCCAAATATTTAAGAAAATCTGACGAATTATAAATTTTTCGACAAAAACGAGTTTTTGGTAAAAAAAATGGTGGCACACTTATCTTAGACAATGCATTATCTTCAGTTTTGCATAAAGAATAAGATTCCAACGTGAAGTTGTTTTTAAATGAAAACTTATAAAAGATATATGTACTAAAAAGTCAAAATAACAACTCGCGCTCATATACCCGTAGTTGTGTATGTAACGTATACGCCCCGTAGCACCATACACAATCAGCTAACATGTTTAGTCGCGCGCCTTAACTTAAAAGTCATATTATTTAAAAGTAATTCAATATTGGCGTGGTATTCCTTATGCACATATACATATATTAATTTCTAAGTGCATTTCAGAATGAATTTAAAGTGTGCCAATAGTATACACTGCCGGAACAAAGTATTGGCACAGCAAATTTTTCAAAATATAAGCAACAATTTTTATTCTAATATATTTCCGCCAATTTTATTTAAAAATATGATCCATTCTACAAGAAAAAAACAAAAAAGCATATTTCCTAAACTTTGTGGAAAACTCGCGAAAATTCAGCGAATTTTAATGCAAATTTTCAACTTTTTAATCAGATTTTTTTGAGTATGCAGATTTGTAGCGCAATCAATCTTGTTGTAATAAAGTACAGGTTTTAAGTAGCTAGGAATTACCGTTAATTTTTGGCAATTTTTTTCACGCAGTCTCTGCCATACAAACAATTTTTTTCGAAAATACTTTATATGGAAAAAATGCAAAAGACCTTCGCAAAAAAAAAAATTTCAAAATGCGATTTTTGACTAACGCCGAAGTTGCAATTTTTTACTAGAATTTAATGGGCTGCAAAACTGCATACTCAAAAAATCTGATTAAAATGTTGAAAATATTCATGAAAATTCGCTGAAAGCTTAAGAATTATATTTTTATTTTTTTTTTGTTGTACAACGAACCATATTTTTATAAAAAATTGTCGGAAAAATATTATAATAAAAATTGTTGCATATAATGTGAAAAATGTTGCTGTGACAATACTTTGTTCAGGCAGTGTAGTAAAATTAGCATTTTTGTTTCGCAAATCATCGGCATCTTGTATTAACATTAATTCGTTTGGCAAGAACATTTTCACCGTTTAATGTTGACATTTTGAATTATCTCAAACTTTTAAAATGCAAAAATCTTTAAATTATCTTAAAATTATAAAATAGCCGATACAGATATTCTGCTTGCTGCATGTTTTTTTAATTTGTTGGCACATGCTTCAAATTTCACAGACATGCTGTATTTGATGCCAACTTTCAGTTCCTCTAATATGAACATTATATTTGAAAACTTCCCAAAGTTACTTAAAAAAAAATCCAATTATGATTTTTTAAGTGACAACGAAGAAATTAGTCATTTCGGTACTTCTTCGCCTAAATAAACGTCTTAAGGCTAAAATTGTTCAAATACTTGATTTATTGTTTATTGTACTTCGTCAACTCCATTGATTGAAATAAACGCAAAATAATGTTTTAGCGTTTTTGCGAGACAAGGGAACGATACTAAAAAAAAAACAATTCGTGAGATTTGCTCATATGCTAGGGTTTCTAGAGTGAGCTTAATATTAGTTCAAATCAGCTAAACGCATAAATGGCTCTTAACCACGTAAACTTCATAAACTTATTTAATTTTCAATGGAAACTCAGTTTATTAGCAAGGTTTACGCAGTTACCTGCGATTTAAGCATTTAGATGAATATCCATAATATGTAAGGTCAAAAAATATGTTAAAGGCATTTCACGCATGCACATGCAACACCCTAATATACAAACAAATTTTAATTAAATCGTTATATTAACTGCGATTATTAATATTTCAAATCTTGCTATTATTATAATTATTTTTGTGAATAAACCACTGCGACCTCAAGATCTATTGTGCTACCTTCATGGATTTAAAGTGTGTCTATTAACCCAGTATCTGAGAGAAACTTTAGTATGGAGCGTATATCTACGGGTTTCGCTTCGGTTTCAATTACTTAATGTTTAATATGCTGTGCAGTCGCGATATCCTGCAAAATCCGTATCGCTCCTGCGTGTAAATACCCATTTTAGTCAGGTGCCTGCAATGTCCTATCGAAATTCCTGTAATAACTATCAGGTTATTCATACATTCCTTGAAGCTTGTTGCTGATGATGTTGAGGTTGGATTGCTCTAGACATGGTCGATTATGCCAGTTCTGATTTCTTCAAGCCTCTTCCTTTTACCGGTTCAGGGCAAAGAGTACCCCGTTTTGCAATGCCTCAGAAGGGCTCTGGGCCGAGGGAAGGCGTTAATGCTCCTTTCTTCGCAAGTTTATCAGCAATCTCGTTTCCTTCATTTTTCCGCAATCCAGAGAACCCTCACCCGATTGGTCACATCAAGAGTATTCAGCTTATCTGATGAGATCTAACGTCCTTGATAGCTACTTGGTTGTCAGTTAAGATTGCGATGTTCTAATTCTAGTAGTTTCACTTGATATTAAAGTCCGCACATTTTTCTTCCGAGCATCTAATCCTTAGTCCAACTCCGTTCACGTCGTTCTTCTCTTCAGTCAATGAACCATCAGTAAACCAGGCTATCGTGTTTTGTTTTATCCGACATGTCGCGGATATGCCTGCGCATCTGTTATTATTATTCAGATCACTTTTAAACATTTTTATAAATCGTAAAACCTCGTATGCATAGTATCCCTCGGTATTGCAATTTCAGTGCACTTCTTCGTCAGAATATCGATTTTCTTACGACTAAGAAACCCCTCTGCCCCGATATTGGTACCAGGCATGCTTAGTAAAGCTCCGTTAGCTTGAATTTCTATGTGAACATGCAGAGGGGTAAGATTTAAAAAAACTTTCGAGGATGTGGTTGGACAAGTTCCATGGCGCCAAATATGCATACAACTGCCTGCCTTTTTATCTTGGTGAACGCTTCGATTGTCCCAAGTTGTGTATTTCTATCGACCCAAATGATGGCTCCATAATCTACCATGGGTCGAACTATCGTCGTACAGTTCCATCTCAGTAACTTTGGTGAGCATCCCCAGAGCTGGGGCTCTTTTCTGCCATGGACCTACATGTCATAAATATTCTTACAGCTTTCTTCGCAATTTTGTTGACGTGTGCTTTCCAGAGTAATTTTTTGTATAGTATTAGTCCTAGGAATTTAACCACTTTTTAACCGACTTCAATAAAAGGAGAATGTTATCAATTCGTCGGAATATTTTTTTTATGTATGTATGTTACCGCATATTTTAGACTACGTTAACCGATTTCGATAATTCTTTTTGTATCGGAAAGGTAGGGTCTCCGAGGTGGTCCCATACTAATTTGGTTTAGTTCCGATCATTGGACCATGAGGAAATTAACGGTACACCAAAATTTTTATATGAGAATTGAAGTCGTTTTTTTTTTTGCTTAAAAATTACTATTTAATTTAACATCTTATTTTATTTTATTTTTTGGTTTGAATGGATCAACGTTGCCGTCTGTTTATGCACAACCATATAGCTTTTAAGGGTTAAGTAAAACTATATTGAGTTAACACGTATTTACTTTGTCTCGTGCGTGTCCTGTTATCATTAGCGAATTGTTTTGCGATATTGGCCGCCCCTAATATCTGGCCGCTCTAGGCCCGGGCCTATTGGATTTAAGGCAAAATCCGCCACTGACCACATGTATGTAGCGTGCGAGTTATGTATTAAAATTTGCTGAAGAAATTTCTTATCCACGAAATAAACCTTAAAGCTGGCCGCTTCAAAAGCACCTGGAATGAGCGGTTATAGGTTAAATTTCTGTGGAGAAATAATTTTTACTTTTTGTATAAAAAAATTTTCTAATTTTTATTGACGAAAACTACGCTGTATGAACAAAATGCAATATACTATCGAATATTTAAATTTAAACTATTTTTGTAAATAACAATTATGGCATGCAGAAAAAATATGTGCTATTGAAAATTCTTAAAAAAAAACGAAACAAAGTATGCGTTTACAAATTCACAAAAGATTAAAAATTTATAATACGATATGTATGTATGTAAATCAAAGGCATGGAATGTTAAAAAGGACTTTCAAATAAATGAATGGCGCGCATGAGCATAAATACACACAATAATATATTTACGCACAGTGAGACACAAAAGCGTATCAGTAAATGCAAATTCAAATGACTGACTGAAATATTTCATTTCGTTTGAATATTAAATTCCACACACAGAATCAGGCGGCTGACACGTTTGCTAACGGATAAATGGGCAATGCATCACACGCATCACGCAGCGACAGGCACTGCAGACGCAGCAGTAGCGAGTGGCAGCAAAAGCGAATCCACTGCAAGTGCTGCCACCACATCCAGCGCCAGTGGTGGCGGCGGCGGCGTCGGCGGCATGATGGCCAAAATCAATGCGCGTCACTGGCTGCACCCCTCCGCAACGCACTCCGCTTCGACATCACCCTCGGTAACACCGCCCACAGCCACGCCCTTAGCTACAACGCCCATTATGCCACTTGCTGCTGCTACAAGCGCCAGCTCGAGCGCCATATTTTTACCAGCAGCCACCTCGGCCACAACACCAACACCCTCTGTTGCATCGTCAGCATCATCTTCATCCGCTTCGGCAACGGCAGCTGCGACCACACTAACATCCGCCGGCGCGCACCACCAACAATTGCAGCAACAACTGCAGCAGCAACAACAACAATTGATGACAAGCGAAGAGCTGCGGCGCAATACATTCTATCGCACGGTATGCGCAAGCTTTCAGAGTGCCATTCTGTTGCTGGACATGGATACGGGCGAAATCAGCGACTACAATGAAAGGTCAGAGAGCTGGCATGCTTTGATATGCATGTGTGTTTGTGTGCGTGTATGTTTATGCTAGGTTATATAAAATAAAGACAGACAATGTATGAGGCAATGTGTGCGCCCTTAATGCGCGCACCTAAATAGGCTATGAAATATTTAAGCGAATTTGAAAGCAATTGAGTTTGCGCTCACACACGCACTCGACGGGGGAAATGATGAAAGAAAAGTGCGTTAGCAGAAGCGCTCGTAAGTATGCCAAGGTTCACAGGCACATACTTACATACAAATGGGCCCACACATTCGCATGAAGTCCGTGAGAACAATGCCTTTCAATTACATATTTAAATGCTACAAAGTTAGCAATGGAACCAATTTAGCGCAACGCTGTGGGAGTAGACGAAGGGAACTTTTGTCTATGTAACTAAGGGCCAATTTCAGATGAATATTTGAATGCCACTTAGGTTTAATTTTGGATTGTTATTTAAATGCCATTTAGCTTTCGTTGGGCTTTAGATCAAGTTTATTTAAATATGCCAAACAAGTGGCAACACTGTTGCTTGTTCCATGAACGTGTGGTTGCATTTGTTTGTTTGTTAACATTACACTACATTGCGCTGAAAAGCTGATTCTTGTTTGACAAAATTGATGAAACAACCTATCTATCAATCTTGGTGGTTTGGTACAAACACAGGGTTGCCTATCTCGTATTTAAATAGCCAATATTGGCCACTTAAGTGCAGCTTCAATGTATGATCTGAAAATGAATTTTTGAAGTTAATCAACAATCTCTACTTAAATAGGCCATCTGAAATTAGCCCTAAGTATTCTACAATGGCTGACATGTATCCTAAGTGATGTTTGCTGCACAGGTTATTTTGTGTTAATTCCGACAAAAAAAGTATTCTTTGAGCATATTTACAAAGAAAAATTGTAGTCATTAAACTCAAATTAAAATCGCAACCTCTCGGTGTTTACTTGTGCGTTTAAGATTGCCTGCGGCAAAATTGTTGCAAGTCTTTTACGTGGAAATACTACAAGACCTTTAGTTAAAATGTGAAAAGACTTCGGAGGCTAGATTACCTTAACCACAAACGCATATACAGTGACGAACAAAAGTTTGGCACAGTGAATTTTTCGCAATATAAAAAGTTTTTAATTCTAATTTATTTTCGATAATCTAATATATAAAAATCTCGTGTCACGGTGTTAGTGGTCGAACTCCTCCGAAACGGCTGGACCGATCTTTATGAAATTTTTTGTGTATATTTGGTAGATATGAGAATCGGATGTAAAGTATATTTCATACCGCTAGGTTCAGGGGGCGTGGCACCTCCCATACAAACCGATTTTTTCATACTGCAAATCTCTGGAAGTGTTCATGGTAGAGTACTCTAACTTGGCATGGAGATATATCAAACCAATCGCATACTCATGGAGAAAAATTGTGGTTATTGGAAAAGGGGGCGTGGCACCTCCCATACAAACCGATTTTTTTATACTGCATATCTCTTGAAGTGTTCATGGTAGAGTACTCTAACTTGGTATGGAGATATATCAAACCAATGGCATACTCATGGAGAAAAATTTTGGTTATTGGAAAAGGGGGCGTGGCGCCTCCCATACAAACCGATTTTTTTATACTGCATATCTCTGAAAGTGTTCTTGGTAGAGTACTCTAACTTGGTATCTAGATATATCAAACCAATGGCATACTCATGGAGAAAAATTGTGATTATTGGAAAAGGGGGCGTGGCACCTTCCATACAAACCGAATTTATCATACTGCATATCTCTGGAAGTGTTCGTGGTAGAGTACTCTAACTTGGTATGGAGATATATAAAACCAATCGCAAACTCATGGAGAACAATTGTGGTTATTGGAAAAGGGGGCGTGGCACTTCCCTTACAACCGAATTTTTCATACTGCATATCTCTGAAAGTGTTCTTGGTAGAGTACTCGAACATGGTATGGAGATATATGAAATCAATCGCATACTCATGGAGAAAAATTGTGGTTATTGGAAAAGGAGGCGTGGCACTTCCCATACAACCGAATTTTTCATACTGCATATCTCTGAAAGTGTTCTTGGTAGAGTACTCGAACATGGTATGGAGATATATCAAACCAATCGCCTACTCATGGAGAAAAATTGCGGTTATTGGAAAAGGGGGCGTGGCACCTCCCATACAAACCGAATTTTCCATACTGCATATCCCGGAAAATGTTCATGGAAGAGGACTCGAACATGGTATGGAGATATATGAAAGCAATCGCATACTCACGGAGACAAATTATGGTTATCGTAAAAGGGGGCGGGGCACCTCCCATACAAATCGAATTTTTCATTTTGTTTAACTTTGGAAGTGTTCATGGTAGAGTACTCGAACCTGGTTAGGAGATATATGAAAACAATCGCATACTCATGGAGAAAAATTGTGGTTATTGGAAAAGGAGGCGTGGCACCTCCCATACAAACCGATTTTTTCATACTGCATACCTCTGGCAGTGTTTACGATAGAGTACTGGAATTTGGCAATTAGGGTGTCCCTATCCAAAAAAAATTTTCTCTATTTTTTTCTTTTAGATCTTTTGGTATTTTTGTATGAAAAATCTAATATATAAAAATATCGTGTCACGGTGTTTGTGGTCGAACTCCTCCGAAACGGCTTAACCGATTTGAATGAAATTTTTTATGTATATTTCGTAGGTATGACAATAGGGTGTAAAGTATGTTTCATACCGCTAAGTGAAGGGGGCGTGGCACCTCCCATACAAACCAAATTTTTCACACTTTATATCTCTGCAAGTGTTCATGGTAGAGTACTGGAACTTGGTATGTACAAGACATATAAAATCAATCGCATAGTCATGAAGAAAAATTTGGCTTATTGGAAAAAGGGGCGTGGCACCTCCCATGCAAACCGAATATTTCACACTGCATATCTCTGGAAGTGTTCATGGTAGAGTACTTGAACATGGTATGGAAATATGAGAAATCACTCCCATACTCTTAGAAAAAATTGCGTCTATTTTATAAGGGGGGTACGGCGCCTTTCAAACGGTACTGAAGCTATTACGTATCTTTGTATGCATAAAAAATTTTGCTAGGTTATTTAAGATGGTAATGGAAATATGCCTTCCGACAACCACGAAACCGTAATATTAGAAGATAAACGCGTCACTGAAAATCATGGACGTGAACTGTTGGTGAAAATGGTGTACCAAAATGTTTCAATACAAAAAATTAATTTTGGGCGGGACGAAGTTCGCCGGGTCTGCTAGTTTTTTATAGAAATATAGTCCATACCACACCAAAAGGCATAAAAATAAATTCTCTAAACTTTGTGCAAATTTCAGGGAAATCCTATAAATTTGCATACTAATTTGCAATTTTCGATTCAGATTTCTGCAGTTTTGTAGCTCACTCAATTTCAAGTAGCGTTGTTTTTTGGCAAGTTTTCTAGTGGAAGGTGGTGCTTATTTTCTCCATACAAAAAAGAGATCTTGAACATACTTTATAAGGAATAATCTGCGTGAAAAAATTGCCAAAAATCAACACGATTTTTCAGCAACATTAAACCTGAACTTTGCTATACTAAAATTGAATAGGCTATAAAACTGCATAGTTAGAGTTTTTCAAAGAATCTGAATCGAAAGTTACAACTTAGTTTTATGTTTTTTTGGTGTGGTATGAACTATATTTTTATAGAAAATTATCGAAAATAAATTAGAACAAAAAACTTTGCATATTTTGCGAAAAACTTACTGTGCCAATACTTTTGTTTGTCACTGTACATACAGCTGCGGGCATTAAAATAATAGCAAACTTAAAAAACATATTGTTCGCAACTTATGTTTATTTAGTAATTTTTTTTTTTGCATTTAAAATATAGTTCGATCCATAACAGAAATCCCATAAATAGAGATTTTAAAGATTGCACAAAGTTCACAAAAATTAATCAATCTTAAAAAAAATTAAATAAAAATTTCAAACTTTTTATTTAGAATCTGTAGGCTGCATTTCACCAAACTCAATTAAGTGGAAATTAATTTTAACCTAATTTATTTATTTAATTATTAATTAAAATTTCTTCGCTTTCAATAAGCTCTTTATTTTAGTGAATGAAAATATAGCAGCATCGTGCTAAAAGTGGAGGTAAAAGCAGTGATTGTATACAAGTAAACAGCTGATACACAATATTGTGGTTTGTGTATATTGATCAAAATTAAAAACAAATTAAAATTGGTTGCTAAAACGAAAAATTCGAAAATTTAAATAATTTTCACTTAAATGAATCTGGTGAAATACAGTTTATAGCCCATTCAATTTCAGTATGATAAAGTGCAGGTTTCAAGCCAATAAAAGTTACCGCACATTTTTTGCATATAAAATTAGATTTTGTTCATATGTGGGAGAAAATGCTCAAGGCCCTTGACACAAGCATTCTAAAAATCATACTCAAAAATGTTCTAAAAATTCTGAATAAACAGTTTGTTATTTTGAGGAACATTTTTTTAAGTGTAAACCTTTGAAACTTTTATTTATGTGATTTCAGTTACAGATCGAGCTCTTATCTATACTAATTATACAAAGAGAAGTCCCTTTTTTTGTAACAGGTAATCTCGCGAACGGCTGG